CACACACACACACCACTCACACACACACCACTCACACTAGCACACACACCACTCATACGCACCACTCACAAACCACACACACACCACTCATACCACACACACATACACACACACTCACACATGTACTGGCTCTCACCCTTTCATGTTCGCTCATAAACACATACACACTCTCACCCAGTTGCACACACATTCACACTCAGATATTCTCACACACACACACTCTGACACCTTCACAAATGCACACCCTCTCTCACACATACTCTCACACACCCACTTTCTCAGGCACGTAATCATACAATTCACTCACACACACACGTACGTGCCAGGCTGGGCAGCTCCGGGGAGAAGTGGTCTGGCCCCATCCCAGGATGTTCACCCTCCATGGTGCCTGCTGTCTCCCCAGGAGGGGCTGTCGCCCGCCAGTCCTGTCCCTTAGAAGGCCCTGGAGGGGGAGAATTAGGGAAACTCCCCCTTTTATTTCTTCTCTTTTTTTTTCCGATTGGTGGCATTTCCATAAAGTGAGATATTTAGAAACGTAACCATCACCACAAGGACCATTTCAGAGCCTCCAACTTCAGCCCCCGGGCAGGTCCCCAGGGCACCGGGACAGACGAGGGCCGGGCATATTTCTGAAGTGTGGTCATGGAAGTGCCGCCCTCCGCTTCCCTCCCTTCTGCCCTTCTCCTCCTGCCTGGCTCCCCCCTCCTTTCCTTTCCTCCTCCCCCCATACCCTGACCCCACCCTGACCCCCGACCCTCATGACCCAGGAGTGTCCCTGCAGGAGGCCCAGCCTGCCTGTTCCTGCCACAGTCCTCAGGCTGGAGGGGCAGGGCCGGATTCCTGGGCTCCCAGAGGCCTCAGTGTCTGTCGGCTCAGGGGAGAAACTGAGGTAGCAGGGGCTGGAGCAGGGACTGTGTGGCACGACAGTGGCTAGGCCAGTGAAGGGCTTTTCTGTCCCCTCCCTTATTCTGTTTACTATCCTAAGAAGCACCAGGAAGCATTTCGGGGGCCCCAACCCCCAGGGCGACAAGCCCCAGAGACCTCTGTACTTCTGATGGCCGGACTTGCTTTCCCCTCCCTACCCGCCCCCACCAGGAAGCCCGCTCTGCCTACCAGAGCCCCCTACTCCTGGCGCAGACACTGCCAGGCGGTTCCTGGTGCTTGGTCCGAGGATGGGGCCTGTGACAGCCAGGTAAGGGTGGAGCCAGGCCCTGGTGAAGCCCCCAGGTGGGCAGCCCAGAACCTGGGATGGGATGCCACAGGACCCCGCTTTCTCTGCTCTTCCCCCGTGCCCACGTGGAACCCTCCTCTCCCAGGTGAGGTAAGTCAGCAGCCCAGGGCAGGGTGGGAAGGTGCTGAGCGCCCCGTGGGTCTCGCCCTGCATCTGGAGGGAGTCTGGGGCCTGGGCTTTGGCCTAGCTCTCTCTCAGCCTCACTGCCCATCTGCACACGAAGGGGTGGGCTCAGGGTTCCCCTAAATTTCTTCCACCCCGGAAGTCAAGGGGACTACTGAGAGCCTAGCAGGAAGCCTTCCAAGAAATATCGCCTTGGCCTATCCCAGGGGCAGACCTTCGCCTTCTAAACGCGGGTCAGCCTGCCCCTGCTTCTCCCCAGCCCGGCGAGTAGATCTGTGTGATCCTAGCTCGGGCCCGCCTTCTCTAAACCTTGCTCATTCTGCCCCGTGGAGGCCGGGGAGGGTGCCCAGTAGGTCTGAGCCTGCCCCAGCTCTGGCTGGTAAGTGGGCCCAGAGTCCTGATCCCAAAGAGTCCCCCATCTCACCCCTGCTGGCACCCACTTGGCATCAGTCACGGGCAGTCCAGCCCCCAGGTCAGAGCTCTGTGGCAGGGGCCGCTGGGGACCCCTCCAGCCACTGCAGCCTGACCCAGGGCGGGGTCAGGAGCACTCAGACCCCTTTGGAAATGGCAAGGGCCACAGTCCTTTGTGCTCCCTGGGAAGCCCCCCACTCCACCCCCACTGGCCCCGCTTGGCAGAGCCGACGGCAGGAAGAATCCGGTCAGCCATCCGTCAGGGAGACGGAGTGGGCCCGAACGAGGGCCGTTCAAGGAGGAGAACCGGGGAAATTTGATCATTAAGAAACCCTCCTGGCTGTCTGGGGGAATTTAATTAAATTGCTGGAGAAGGCTGAGAGAGAGGGCCACATCTGGAACCAATATGTGGGCTTTGATTTTTTTTTTTCCCCTTCTCTTTCTCTCTCTCTCTCCCTCTTCCCATCTCACTGCTGTAAAAGGGAATGTAGTCGAGCCTTGGAGTATTGGTTCCTCTGGGACAGAATTCCAGGCAGATTGAGAGGGAGAGAGACGAGGCAGACAGAAACCAAAAATGAAAGACAGTGAAACCGCGAGGGACACAGAGAGAGGCAGAAAAACAGATCAAGAAGAACCGAGACAGGCAGAGGCAGGAAGGAGGGGGAGGTGGGCCAGGCTGGGCTTTGGGATTTGGTTATGAAGGTGTAAGCGATGACAACGGTTAAAGACCCATTTTACAGACAGACAAAGTAAGTCAAGTCCTGGAGAACTGCAGAAACCAACATCCCAGGCCAAGAATCCCTGGGGTGGCCAGCATTGATCCAGCCCCTACGTTGCTTGGTACATGCCTCGTGGGGTGAACCCTCCGACACACCTAGGGTGTAGATACTGTCATTATCCCTGTTTGCAGGTGAGCGGGGATGTGACTAGCCCAAGATGACAAGGCCCAGGAGTGGCAGTGCAGGGATCTGGTCCTCAGTCTGTCTGGGTATTGTCTAGACATGCTGCACGGGTCGCTTGGATTGTGATGATGTCATTTGGCAGCTGTGAGGTTCGTGCTTGCTGGTGCCAGGCACTGGGCTAGGCTCTAGGGAGGCAGCAGTGTGGTTGCTGGGCCCGAAGCTTCCAGCAAGTGTGGGGTGTGCTAGGTGCCGAGTACTAGTGGGAGCCAGGGCAGGGCGGCCCCACCTGGGCAGTCTGCAGTGGTTGAAGTGGGCCCTCCACCTGGGCAGGAGTGAACTGAGAGAGGAGGTAGGGGCAGAGGCAATGGGGCCTCTCTCTCTGCCCCTCTGGAGGGGGAACCCTCCCGGCCCCAGGCCCCAGCACTGGGCTGGGCCAGGGTGGGTGTTCATGCCCTGGGAAAGGTAGATGGTTTTCTCACCTTAACCGCCAAGGCCAAGCTATCTGACACTGTCCTGGTCCCCTCTTTCAGCCAGTTTCCAGCATACGACATGAGCCGTCTGTCCCTGGTCTCCAAGCGTACCGTTTCCTCCCAGGTTCCAGAGCGCCCAGGCCCACACGAGGTTCCCAAAGGCCTTTCAGCCAGGCCTGCAGGCAGTGAATGCGGCCCCTGGCCTGGGCAAGCAACCTCTGGGGTAACCTTCTCCCCTCTAAGACCCAACACCGGCTCCTAAAACCCAACTCCAGCGCCCTGCTACCTGCTTCAAAGCTGGCTTCAGCCCCTGCAGAGACTTCCCCCAGAGGAGCCCTCGTCCCTGGACGGCCAGGGGCCCCTTCCCTGCTCCTATCCCGCCAAGGTGACTGATGTCCAATCCCGCTTCCACCGTGGCACCTGCATTCTCCTCCACTGCGCTAGTGGAACAGCCGACTTCAGTCTTCCTCTCTTGGCTGTGGCCCCAAGGGCAGAGGCCACTCCACCTGGTCCCCAGTGTGAGCAGAGGAAGGAGCTTGGTACATATTTGTGGAATGGATGTCCCATAACCTTGGTGCGTGCAGAGTTTAAAAATATAACTTGAGGCCAGGCACGGTGGCTCACTGTAATCCCAGCACTTTGGGAGGCTGAGGCGGGCAGATCACCTGAGGTCAGGAGTTTGAGACCAGCCTGGCCAACATGGTGAAACCCCATCTCTACTGAAAATACAAAAATTAGCGGGACATGGTGGCGCACACCTGTAGTCCCAGCTACTCGGGAGGCTGAGGCAGAAGAATCACTTGAACCTGAGAGG